TGAGAGTCCAGGAAGCTGGGAATAACAAACTCTCATTCTCAGATAGTTAATTCTCTCTATATGAATACATACGCTCAAGATGAAAAAAGTCATCCTAAATAGGGAATAAGCAACTACCACTACACTTCATTTCAAGAGGCAAGCAACAATTTTATCAACAATCAATTTTGCAAAAATAGACAAAACTAGTGACCTAACCTTACCTTGGTGAGAATAAAAGTACAGAAGCTGAAATAGTACTCTCGAAAACAATCTGATAAGGATCTCATAGCTATAATGGACTAGATGAATGGAAAAGAAAATTTTACAGCATAGTTGCATCTAGCCACTTACAGCATTGCAGAGTAATCTTACCTCTTTTATCATGGACAAAATCACATTGAAGTTGGTTCCCCTTGCCAAGGATCGTGTGGCAGCAGCCTTTGATGCAAGCAGCAAATAACAAACACCTCAGGGAACTGATAACAACAACATAATTAAAGGAGCAGAATACTATTGTCAAACCTGGATTACTGGACCATCTGCCAGAGGATCAGAATATGGAACACCAAGTTCAATTATGTCTGATCCACATGAATCAAGCACCTTCAATGCTTCTGCCGTGGTTGAAAGATCAGGATCACCAGCTGTGATATATGGTATAAATGCCATCTTCAAACAGAGGTATGATCATCAGCATAGAAAGCAGCATTATAAATTTTACTTCCAATATCAAGCCATAATCCACAAAAGAATCAGTGTTCATCAAATCATTAGATGTCTAAACCCCTTTCTACATGTCAAGTATGAAAAATAACTGCTCCTTTCCTATAAACTCTATAATCAAGAGGGATTATAATTAATCTTCATGGTATAAGCCCTATACAGTTCCATGTGATAAAAGCTAGAATACAAACTAGTGAAGAAACTGGTCCATTCAACTCCAAACGACAGTGCAACCATGATTTGCTGTTGCAAACAGAAAATCAAACAAATCAAAATCCCAGATGAAAATTGATATGAATTTAACTCTTTGGACTGATTTTGCCGTTTGATTATGTGCTCGCAAAACCTGCATCCATTTTGTAAATTCAAACATCTGAAACATTTATTACAAACCCTTAGAATAGACTAGTCACCACCCTAAACTCACAAAGAAACGGCTAATGTAAAGATTACAGCACTCAAGACAAGTCTCCACATTTCACCTCGTCATGGGCATTAATTTTACCAGCTAAAAAATCGACCCATATCAAATAGATTAAAATTTATAACAACCAATGCAAAAAGGGGCTGAAATATAATTCTCTAACGAAGTAAGCCGCACGTTTTTTGTAGCTATCTACCCAAATGCCAAAACGATCAGAAAATGGCAACCCATTTCATAAGAGAGAAAACGCACTCAGAGATTGAGCGCAGTCTAATGCGAGAGAGAGGAGAGTAAAGTTCTTACTTTGCCTTGTTTCTTCAGTTTAGCAAAAGTTTCAGTTAGACCAAGGGTGGGGGAAGCGGTAAGAGTCGCCATAGTCGTGAATCTTTTGAAGGAGATAGAAGATTTCTGGGATGAAGATAGAGTGAGAAAATTGGTGTCAGGGTTTCTGAGGTGGACGAAGCAAACAGTTGATTTCAGGGAAATAGACATTGAAGCAGATAGTTTTGGCTGCGTTTGCAGGCTGCTGTCTCCGAGCGGAGGGTTTAAGCAGTGGAAGGAGATTCCATTGTTTTCGGTTTGGTGAGAGAAATGTTTTTGTTTTTTTTCTTTTAATGGTAACCGTTTGATGTTTGGGATTCATTTTTCGAAGAAAATCTAGCCGTCAAATTTTTTATTCCTGTATAGCTTATTTTTAATTTTTTTCATCTAAGTGCGTGTTTGTCTGTAACTTCTAAAAAAGTGCTTTTCGAAAAAGTAATTTTAGATAAAAGCTGAAGCAAAAATATGTTTTTTTACAGGTTTAGACCTATAAATTAAAAATATAATATATTCTCGTTCCTTTTATTTTGTCGAATCGGTATTACTATTTTTCGCCAACCCTAACTCACCGCTTGATAGCATCCTCCACATGTAGTCGCTTGTTGCCCTCAATTGCTAGTTGGCCACCAACTAACACCCTTTACCGTCAACTAGTTGTTGTTTGCAATCCTCGATCATCACATCAACTGTTGTCTTCTACCAGTTAACTACCAGCTATCGTTTTTCATCATCAGTTGGCTACTGCCCTAATTAGTTGATCATTCTTTGTCGTTAGTCGATTGTTATTTATCACCAGCTAATCGTCCTCTATTGTTATTTAGTTGTTATAATTGCCCTACAATGATCACTCACTCTCTTATGTTTGCTTTTTGTCAATCGTTACCTGTTGTTTATTCCTCATTACCCATTACTCGTTTTTCATCACTAATTGCTCATTGGTCACCTTCCGTCTTCCGCCAATCGTCATCTGCCCTTGACCTCTCCCTATTGATCACCCTTTGATCCCTATCGATCATTCTCTGCCTCTTGTTGGTCGCCTTCGTCTTTTCCCTCATTGTCTGATGCTCATTATTATCCACTATTTGCTAATTGCTACATATAAGTTGTCTCCATCTACTTCCGACTACATTTTTATACTATTCGTCAGTTGACACGTGATATTATCTCATAAAAATATTTTTAAAAAATTTTAAAAAATATTTATTTACTCTACAAGTATAAAATAAGTTAACATTTTTTGATACAATAAGGTGGAGTTGTCAGAAAAAATATTATAACAACAAACTTTGTTATTACATATACTTAAATATATTGAAACTAAAAAAAAAATATATCTTCTACTAAAATTACAACATCAACATTTTGCAACGAACATCGTAGAAGAAGAGAAAATAAAATAACATTTAGACAAAAAATATATAGAATTGAACGGTCAAATCTCTGCAAAATTACAACTTAAAATTGTATTAATTAAGTTATAACGATGATGTCTGATTATAAATTTTTTGTTACTTTAATTTTTAAAATAAATTTTAATAAATTATTATATTTTTAAATAAAAAAAATATCATACCTATTTTTTTAATTAAAATAATCACAATTAATTAAAAAAATTTTAATTAAAAAAATTTTTTATCAAAATTTTATCACAAAGCTAATATTTCTGTCAATAAATTTATATAAAAATATAAAATATTTTATTTAATTCTATTATTTTTCTGATAATATAATTAATTTATTCATTTATATATAAGTGAACTAAGTTAAATTTTAAGTAACTTGTTTAAAATATATATTTAAAAAAAAAATTGAAAAAGATAAGTTAATAAAACAGAAAAAGTAATTTATTTATTAAAAAAATTAACCACTTGATGAAATAATTTTTATTTTTTAAAAAAACACGTTTAGTTGCATTTAGCTAAAATAATATAATTAAAAAAATCGAATGACGTGTTAAATTGACCGGAGGCGTGGGCCCCAGATTGTCCAAATTTCTAATAAGCCACCTCACGGCCGGTAGGTCGGAAGAGTGGCAGCAGCCAGTAAAAGCTCGACAAGTGGAATACCAAATATCACAGTTTACCAAAAAGCTCCCGCACGTGGACCCCACGTGGACCCCATTCTCGTACTTGTCCTTTTCTTCCACCCCTGCTTTTCCGTTTCACCCAATTAGTGGGGTCACACCAACTGATCAATTCACCTACTCACCTGCCCACCATATTTGTTGTACATCCACCATCAGGATGTTTACACGTGTATTTTGCTGACGTGGTAGATTACTGTGGGCGGCTATCATGGACCCTGAAGCACAGGATCCCGTGGACCCCGGATAAGAAAACTGGACAACCAAAGGAGGCGAAAAAATGCAGAGAGAGATTTTTTGAGAGGTAAACGATGAATACTGTGTTCTCAGTGGAAGATTTCTCCGACTCCTTTTGGTCCGCTCCGGATCTGGCAGTTGCGGCGGCGGAGATCATGAACCGGAGCCAGTCAGAGTGGGCGCTGGAAAGGTTTTTCGAAGAGATGTCTACGTCAGCGCCGACGAACGCGATTGCTTCATCTTCCTTGCAATCTCAGCCGTCAATCTCGACTGCTGAAAGAGCTCACGATAATGATGTCGTAGAGATCGGAAAGCCTGCCGATCATGATAATCATAATCGTTCTTCGCCTTCCGGTCCTTCTTTGACGGCTCGTGTTGATTCCGAGGAGTACCGCGCGTTTCTCAAGAACAAGCTCGATCTCGCATGCGCCGCTGTTGCTCTCCGAGTATCTATCTCATTCTTTCTCTCTTCCATTATTCCATATGCCTGAATTGTATTAGTTTAATAATTTGCTCCATTTGTTTCTATTATCTTATTCATTTTCATGAAAAGCTGTGTTTGTAGTGCCTGTTGTATGGATTGATAATTGCAACGATTGTGAGTTTTGGTTATTATTGAAACCTTTTTGTCCAAGGAGTGGTGCATATACTCTTAGCAATGTTGGTGTATTATGAATGTGCACGCAGGCCTCTTCTGTAAAGCCTGAAGATTTGGGTACCCAAACAGAGAATCAGCAAAAAGAGGCAGCCAAACAACCTGTACCTATCCAATCAGGGTCTCAAGCTCAAGGTTAGAGTTTTCACATATTTTAATTTGGATAATCATTTATTAGTAAAGTTTTGAACGGTAATTCTTTCGATATCATTCTTTACATTGATAGCTAATGAAATTATGCAGTCTAGACTGGTCAGGTAGAGACTTTAGCACAGATATGGACGATTGTGTGGTTCTATCAGCTTAGCTGTTTTAGCTGTAGTGTTTTGGCCCAAGTTCATCTATGTCTTTTACAATCTGTAAATAATTGTTTTTCCTCTCTCTATTACTTGAGAATTTCTATTTGATTA